AAAAAAATAAAGCCTTCATAAAATTTCCGAATGCAGGGCTTAATTTGCCCTTTTTGCCAAAAAAAGAAAAAAAATTAAGTTCTACTCTAACTGGTGGACTTCAGAATTCTGAAACCTTGCCTACTGTCCTTCCCTTCCCTATAAACCAAAAAAATTCTCGTTCGGAACTTGTCTCATCACCCTACACAATGTCCCATCAGTTGTCCCCAGATCGGCTTTCCGACCTTCCAGATCACATCCTCCACCGTATCACCTCTCTGGCAAAGATGCCACCAAGATGGCCGCCTTATCTACGAGATTCAGGTCTGCATGGATTGTCTTTCCCGTTATTGATGTGGAAAGGTCAAATCTTCCTAACCGTTTGGTTGATGTGCTGGAATTGTCTCTTAAGTCTCTCTGTGAAAGAAAAATATTTGGTTTAAACAAGTTTAGGATTAATTTTAAGTCCGTAATGATGCAACAACATAATCCCCTTCCTGCGATTATTAATTCTGTAGTGTATCAGAGTGATGCTATGGAGGAATTAGACTTAGATGTAAGCTTTTAAGTTCCTAAATTATTCCAGGTTCCGAGTTTTTTATTTCGGTTGCCATCCTCATTTACATCCATCAGGGTCTTGAAACTGAGTGGAATTGAATTAAACCCCGAGTCACTAAAGTTGATAGTAGGTTATCTTTCTCTTCAAGTGTTAAGTCTTTCGAATTGCTTGGGGCAGAAGGAACTTGTTCTTTTCTGTGAAATTCTCAAAACTCTGCAACTTGAGAATTACTGGGCTTCGCAAATCGATATTGCAGCACTCAATCTTTCATACTTCTATCTCAAACAAGTGCCTGCGCCCCAAAGGCAATTGATCGAGATGTTATCCTGTTATCCTGTAAGTCTCTTGGAACTTTGATATTGGAAACTTCTAATGTTTCTGAGGATTTCCTGGCAACCCATTTGTCCAACTTTTCCCTGCTTGAGGTACTAAGGCTCAAAAATTGCTATTCCCTGACAAATATACTTGTTTCCGTACCAAATCTGATAAGCTTTACCTTGGATAACTGCAATTCCGTGAGGAAGATCAAGATTATTGCTGAAAGCCTGAATTCTTTCGTCTGTAAGGCGAATAATTGGTTGTCTTGTGAGAATATTGATACCCAGGCCAAGTCTCTAAGATACCTAGGAATAGAATTAGTACCAACAGGCAAATTCCATTGTTTGTTGTCCATTCACCCAGTATATTTTGTGAAATTAAGCTCATTCTCAATCTCTATAGAAAAGTATTGGAACTCAGGTTTTGGTTCAAGCATTGAGAAACTTTCTGGTATGCTTTGGTCACTGTAAAGTCTTAACTATTGTCTGCAATAGTGCTAAGGTAGTACCTCAACTTCAACATTCCAAAATTCTCTTCTAATACGTGACAGCAGCATTATAAAATATTTATTATACAATTTAGGTTATATTAAATTACATAACATTAATTATTGTTTATGGAGTGGATTTTATTTTGTAGTTCAAAGCAATTTAAACTATAAAATAAGAGATTTTTGTGCTTAATTAATGTAAAGGATAAGGATAATATGACTATTAGTCCTTGA